TTTTTTTATTCCCCCCCCCCCCCCCCCCCCAACTACACGCTTTCACACTTTGCTAAAATATTTATTTACATACTACATGTTGAATAAAATTCTCCAGGTCAGCTAGGGAATCGCAAAGAGAATCATCCGTGTCTTGACTTCTGAGAAACTTTCGAAGGGTATCTAAAGCATTCAAAGCCTCAGATTTTGATGGTAAAGGCTGTTCAGCTCCCTGAAATCGGTCACCTTCATCCTCATCTTCATCACCAACAAATGTCTCAGCTTTATCTGATGCACTTTCTTTGTCACACACCCCTTCGTTATTTGTGGGCATTTCATAAGTGACCAAGCCATCATCTAAAGCTGCATATTCCTCCAAAGATAAACCTTCTGGAAACTCCACTCCAGCTGCCTGTGCATGTGCAAGCAAATTAAAATCACTTTCAGCCTCTGTGTTGTTACCATTTGCCTTGGTTTCTAATTTGAATCCTGCTTCTTTATAATGTTTTACAATGGTGTCTGGAGTTACTTCTCTCCAGCACAGGTACAACATCTCAACTGCATCACGAAGAGGCAGCATAAACTCTTCATTACCTTCTACACAGTCAATGAATCTCTTGATAAGGCAGTGCCTGTATTTAACCTTCAGACTTCTGATAACCCTTTGTTTCACAGTTATACATGAAGAAGGGTCTGGAGGAAAAAACACTAATTTGACAGACTTCAGGTTCTTTACTTCTGTGTGAGCTGGGAGTGAATCAACAAGAATAACCACTCGTCGCTGCTGTGCTTGAAATTTGTCATCGAGTTTGTGCATCCACTGTTCAAACACTTCTGAAGTCATCCATGCCGTATCATTTCCTACATAATCCACAGGTAGTGACTCCACATCTTTGAAAAAGCATGGACTTTTTTTTTTTCCTATAACAAGCAAAGGAAGTTTCTCAGAGCCATCCATATTTGTACCCACCACTACAGTTATTCTCTCTTTGCTTAGTTCGCCTACAGAACAAGTTTCCCCTTTAAATGCAAATGTGTTATGTGGTAACATTTGATACAACAATCCAGTCTCCTGTATGTAAAACACGTTTTTTGGCTGATATTCATTTAAATAATAAGGAAGCACATTTTGGTACCAAAGAGTTGGAGCATCTATGCTAGCAGTAGCAGCTGCTTCTACAGGGTGAGCTCTGAAAATTAAACCATACCTTGACTTGAAACGATCAAGCCAGCCATTACTGCATTTAAAATCGCTATGTCCGAGCTTCTGGGCAAAATCATTAGCCTTGAGGCGCAACATAGGACCGTTTACAGGCACATTCAAGCACTGAGCAATTCTGTACCACTTCACCAGTGCCTCCTCCAGGTCGGTGTAAAAAGCAGTCCTTAGCCTTTTCCTTTTAGGATCAAATCGTAAAGATTCAAAGGCTTCCAAAACTTTTTCTTTATTCTTCATGATTGAAGACAAGGAGTTCTTCTTTATGCCATACTTGGCTGCAACGTCTGCCTTCTTCGCGCCACTCTCCACCGCGCTTATGATGTCAATTTTCTCCTCGATAGATATGCTTTTTTTCCTCCTCACTGTGGGCTGGGACAGGGGACTCCCCGAAGCCTCTGCCATGGTGCCAGCGCCGAATTCCAGAGCAGCGCACCCGGGCAGGCACACCGGGGCTCTGCCGCTTTCGGCTGCGGGCGCCCTGGATGCGGCCGGCGTTCAAGCTCCTGCTCTGACCTCAGGGGCATGGCACTTG